TATATGATATTAATTATAAAATTATATATATATAATTCATTTAAATATTCTCGAATAAATGAATAATAATCTAATCTAAATTCATTATCATATAATGAAGTCATTTATATCTTGAAAATGACTCATATTTCGAGGCATTAATTTCTCGAATAAAATAATATCAAATATTATAAGAATCCGACGAGCTCAATATCTTAAAATATGAGATATGCTATATAATATATTATAAATAATATTAGCATAAAGATTTTTTGATTTAAGAATTTGATTTAATTCAAATAATTATTAAAATCCATGAAGAAAATCTCTAAATCTTAACGATATAGAGATAATATAATCAAATAAATATAGAATCAATTAAATTTTTATATATTGAAATATATTTAATAAATAAAATAATTTCAATGTATTTCTTTATCGATATTAATTATTTAATATTTTTTCGAAATAAAGAATATTGAAAATATCTATTAAATCGATTCTTAATATATATTCGATATAGTTTTCTATTTGACTCGTGAGCGCCAGAGCCTTAAACCCTACAGCCCTTTTCCTTTCGGTTCAGTACTACTGTAGTCTTCCCTCTATTAAAACTCATAGAAATCTAGGCCCCCCCTTATGATTTTAATCAACTTTCAATTGCAGGCCCAAAACCATAAATTTCCGGGGGGGCGGTAGTTTTAATATTAAGAGAGACTTTAATAATAGGGGGAAGGGATTATCTCTCTATCCCGATAATTTGAAGAAAATTTAAAAAGATGAAAAAAAAATAATAATAAGATAAAAAAGAATTATAAAATAATTAAGGTTTAGGGTTTAAGGCTTTAGAACTTAGGGGTTAAGGGAAGAGGTTTGGCTAAAATGATTAATTAATCAATTAGGCAGTCAGGGCTTAGAGTTTTAATATTTGAGGGTGTTGTGAACCACTTAATTATTTGGGGCTGGCTGTCTAATTACCCTCCCTCTGACATTTTTCGTCGGTCGCTGAAGGTTGTCTGGCTGCCTAAGTAGACAAACGGAGGCCAGCCTGCACTACTGGCTGGCCTGACGGTCTGGCTTGGCTGCCTCTCGAAATCGACAGCCATGCTGCCTGTCTTGGTTGTCGGCCTGTCTGGGCATGGCTGTCTGATTAATTAGGATTTCGGGTTTAGGAATTTAGGGTTTAGAGGTTTAAGATTTAGGGATCGTTAATTAAATAATTAGAGAATCCTATAATCCTTCTTTATAAAGGGCCGACTGTCTGACTAGAGGCAATTGGTTGTTGTGAAAAATGGGGCTATTTGTCTGACTGTCTGCCCCTGATTTATTAGGGCGAAACAGCAAAAGAAGCCAGTTGAATGGGGGGTCCGCCTGCCTCAGGCGGGCCCCCCATTCTAGTATGATCTGTCTAGTTCGCTCAATCCTATCTGTGGCCTGGGCGGCAAGGACTTAGGGTTTAAGATTTTAGGATTCGGGGTTCATGCTGAGACTGTGGCCCGGCTGTAGTGCCTGTCGGAGTCTGACTGGAACCGCTGACTGCCATCCTGGCGGAGACTGGGTTTAGGGGTACTTAATCAAGGGTTTAAGATTTAGGGTTTAATTAAGATTTCGGGTTGCTCCTGGGACCGTTCCAGCATCGTCATTTTCTTGCCGAGAAAATGCATCTCGGCATTCATCTCGAGACAAATACAAGTAATTAATGATTAATTAATGAAACACAACTGACTGTCCAGTCTCGGAGCTCTGCCCAGACGAGGTAGNNCTGACTGTTTGCTCTACAGCCGGAACGGCTGCGTAGGAATCGATCGTTGTATCTGACTATATCTGATTATCTGCTTCAACCCAGTCATAATTAATTAATTATAGTCCTATCTCGGGGTGCGCCCAAATACTCCCCCAAAATCTCTCTAATATTAAAATCGAACCGCCGAAATCCAATTTTAATATTAGGGAGGGGCGGGGACTTTTAATAATAAGGTGAAGGAATTAATGAGATTAATATATGAGAAAATATCAAAGAAATTTCCAATCTTATTATTTGTATTATAATTATTTTCTAGTTTCTATATAATTAATATTCTTGCATACTCAATAATTAAATTTATTAGATAAATATATAGATAATATATTCATAATGAATTTTCCATAAGACACTAGCCGATAAGATTTTAAGAAGCAAGAAATTGAAAGATTTTCGAAAATTATTTTTGAAATTTATCATTCTCGGTTATAGAAGATTTCGTTTATATTTAATTTATATTTTGCATTTTCATGAAAAAATTCTATGAATTTAGGATTTAGGGTTTAGGGCTGGGGTTTTTAACATAAAGTTTCGACCCTTTCTGTTGCAGCCACGGCGAATGTAAGAGCACTCCCCCAAAAGCCTGGAAAATACTCCCCCAAGCACTCAATAATTATCCATCAGAGTGATCTTCAATATCTTCCGGCGCAGCCAAAGGCATCCTTAACTCCGCTTAGGCTTTCAGGGATCCAAATCGTGAAGTCTTTAATTCTTTCATAAAGATATTCAAGATATGAAATATAAGGAAAAACTATAAAGCAATACGAAAGCAAATATAGTATGAA